GTGGGGGAGAGAGAGAGAGAGAGAGAGAGAGAGAGAGAGAGAGAGAGAGAGAGAGAGAGAGAGAGAGAGAGAGAGAGAGAGAGAGAGAGAAAGAGAGAGAAAGAGAGGGAGACAGAGGGAGAAAGAAAGAGAGAGAAAGAGACAGGGAAAGCGAGATAAGCCGCAATTGAACACCACGTCCTCCCTTTGAACATTTCGTTGATCCCGACGAACGATCACTCATCATCCATCATCCAGGTGAACGTTCTCCGGGCAAGGGAAGAGATCAGCCAGATCACAAAAAACCAAGTGGCAGAAGAGGCCAAGGCGGAAGTAATGGCGGCCAGGAAGGAGCTACGGACGCTCTCCAAGCGCATGGAACAGCAGTGCACCCGTGAGGTAAAGCGCGGGTGAATGCGACGGACCAGGCATCCCTGTCCACTTACATTGCGAAGAGAGGGAATCATCCTTGACAGACGTTGGGGAGGTTGTACCTTCGTGAAGGTGGTCTCCACATTTCTCCCCTCTTTTTCGAGACTTGTTCTTGTTTGCTAAATAGGCCATTGTGAAAAGAGGGAATCGTCCTCGACAGACGTTGGGGAGATTGTACCTTTTTGAAGGTGGTCTTCACAACAAATTGTATTTCAACAAGATCAGCCATCAGTTAAACTTACGTATTATTTTGCAATCTGATCCCGGTTTGAGTCGTCCTTCTTCTTCAGTGTGGTTTTCAGCTTTCAAGAGGTTGTTGGGGTCCCAAGAGCCAACTCCACCGCCCGCGGGGGTTCTACCTGCCATCTTCACGTGTGGTACCGTACTAAAGAGCAGGGCGTTGCGCGTACTTCGAGGGCTGCAGGCACAACTCACGGTAGCCAAGCTCAGCAAGCTCTCTCTTCATCATTACCCTGGGGGGTGGGAACGATAATATTAACACAATCAACCCTCGACACTCAACAATAGGTGGACAGCGGCTTGGCCCTGACCGCGGAGAAGGAGAAGTGCGACCAGCTTCAGGCGCGGGTCTTAGTCTTGGAGGAGGAGGTGTGTATGACAGGAACCCGAGTCAGGGGTCAGGGACGGGAAGAGGGCAGAGAGGTGGAGTGGGGCAATGGGAGCAATTATGCCATCTGTTGGAAGACTGGGGATTGCGGGCGAGTCGGTCAGTGAGAGGTACATACAGACTGTGGCAAGATGAGAACGAATAGATGCACCATTCGCTACCGCAAGACCTTGGCTCTCGTCGGTTCCAACAACCCGGTCGCTTTAGGTTGTATTTTCTCGTCTCACGAGTTTTTCTTTTATGGAGCCGGCGCGGGGCATACACGGAGAATCCTCGCTTCGCGTCCCCTCCCGTTGGCGCCACCCCCGCTCAACTTCAAACGCAACTTCAAACGAAAGGGTGATGACCAACTTCTGGATCATCCTGTGAAGCGTACATAGCCTGGGCCGGCGAAAACGAGGCGTACAGAATCGTTCCGTCCGTGTTGGGATGCGAGGTCAATGGTCTAACGACCACGGCGTGCGTTTTACTCCCCCCTAGTCCTCGCCGAACTCTGATTTAGTCGTGGTTCTCAAGGACCCCATGCCGAAAATAGATCCCTTCGCGCACGGGATACAGTGATTGGTTGTCGTTTTGGCAGTGATGTTTGGTCCTGTTTGAGGCCCTCAGCGTTTGAAGCGTCAGAACCACGATGGCACCAACGACAACCAACCAGCAACACACGGTACCCGCAATTGCTCATTCCGATAGGTCAGGGCAAAGGCGCAGCGCTTGAGCGAGTGGGAGAACATGACGGACAAGCAGAAAACCGCCGTGTCCGAGTTGGAGAAGCTCAAGAAAGCCCTGACAATGCAGGTGATTATTTACTCTCGCGAAAATCTTTTCGATGTAGTCTCGTCCATTCGATGCTGGATTTGATGTTTTCGGTCGATTGTGTGATGTTGTGCGTGGTTTCTAAGCCCCATCAACGTCCTCTCGAGCATTAGCGCGAGCACGCCCCTTGGAGTGATAAAATGCCTCCTGTTCTGTATCTCATCATGTCCCCCTGTGCCACCCGAGACGCTCATTTCCCTTTCCGTCCTTCTTTCAATTATTTTCTGCCGCTCGATCATGGCCACTCGCTGCAGCTGATGGAACAGAGGTCTATGTTGGAGGCCAAGGATAAGCTCGTCGCCAAGACCCAGGAGAAACTCGCCAGGAACGCGAAGATGCAGGTAAACTGGACACGGATGATGGTGCAATGATAGTCTCTCCCTTCTGTGTTAATGTCAAAAGAGTATGTCCGGCGATCCACATGTATGTCTTATTTGACAGTATCTCCCTCCTTCCTATCAACAACCGAGGCAAAAAGGCGAAGTGCCACGGTGATTGTCATGCATACCCAAACGAGGGCACATCTAGAGCATCAAAGCACAGCAGTATCAGGTGTTTTAGAATTGTATTAATTCCCCCACCAGTGGCGAATGGTATTCGTTCTCGGAACGAACAGCTTCGGGGACTGATTGTTCGGAGGTTAGAGAGAAACTCTCTCCCCCCGTCCTCCCCAAGGCCTCGTACGGAGGTCAAGTGCAATCATGGCGACAATCTACTTCGTTCGCAAGCCACCCGAAGTGTATACTGAGTGTCGTTGCACACCTCCAAAGTACGTGGTAGACTGCTCGTAACGCAGCATCAAAGCATATCGCGGCAGTTCGGACTAGAGTCGACTCTAAGTTTGGGGGCGAATGTTGAAGAAAATACGACAAGCAGCGTGCACAAAGGATCTTGCTGGTGATGGTACTGCAACCGACCGTTTCAGCACATCTTGCATTTAGTCCATGCTTTCGAGAAACAATGATGAATTAATAATTTAGTGCGTTTGATTGTAGCAGCAAGTTCAAACAAACCCAGTTTCAATTATAATTTATGCTCGCGTCCTAGCATATGCATGCGTACAGAATACATAGATATGGGTCACCAGATGATGGTCTCTTTGTAATGCTCTTTGATGACGCGTACGGCGCCCGATCGTACTGATTACCCCCCCACCATATGCATGCACACATACATAGAACGAGGGCGTCCGGCAAGTGGGTATTCTGCAGAAGGAAATCTCTGCGAAAGCGCGGATGTACTCAGCGGTGCAAGCGGAGCTAGGCCGTCTCAAAACAAGCCTACAGGTAACCAAAATCGCCAAAAAAATCCGACAACACTCAGGGAACTTGGTAAGTAAGCTGAATAGTATCAAGTGCATCTCTCTAACTTGATATAAAGTAAAGCGGTGTTGTTGGAAAACCGACGGGAAAAAGTAGAAAAGAAATACCAGTCTATTTAGATGCCATGCGGTGCAAAGAGGCCATACCATAGAAAATGAAGAAGAGATAGATACATAGTGCTGAGGATGCCAGCAACCACATAACGCACGGCATCAAACAAGACGGCCTTCCAGCACGCGACAGCTCGCATGCCGTCGGTAGGAAAAAACCGGATTATAGAAAGGCAATTCATCTATCCATCATGGCGTTCCGTCGATTGTCTGATTAGTATAGTGGTAAGTACACCACATTGTGGCTGTGGAAACCCGAGTTCGATTCTCGGATCGGACAAATATGGAACGAACTTTTTTTTCCCATCGAAACGTGATGATTGTAACAGCGAAAATACTGATGTAGGGGAAGGAAGGAAGGAACTCTTTGCGATTTGATATTTCTGGATATTTCGAAGTATGCATGTTATGTATTAAATACTTGCACTTCGAAGTATCATGTACTTTGTACACGTATGCATACTTGAAAATAAATGATTTTTTTCTTATGATACCCACCCGCAACCAGGTGTTGGTATGTGCACCGCTCATTGTTGTTATAGTTCCAAAAGAAAAGCAAAGTAAATAATCCACCCAATCCACCCGTCAATGGGTTGCGGTTGTCGTTGTTAGTTAGTGGAGGCGGTGGGCCACGTTACAGACAGGCATAGCCGTAGTTTGCCACATCGTCTACTCTATTGGGAAATCGACCCTCCTAGCAAGAGCATTCTACCTCCTTCGTTTCACTCTTTTTTTGCCTTACTCTCTCTCGTCTTCGTTTCTTTTCTGATCATTGCAGCACCGCGAAGCTTTGCTGAAGGGGGCCGCGACGCGCGTGATGTCGGTCCTGGACTCTGCCAACGAGAAGGAGCACTGGCTTTCCGCCAAAAACCAGGCAAGGAAAACAACAATGGCCCGTCCGTTTCGGCGGAGCTCTCGACCAAGTGACACAATGAACATAGATAGAGGGAAACATATATATATCTATGAGGGGGGGGGCATTACTGTTGCAGTTGAGGGCATACCTCTACATGATGATGAGGTTGGGCATTACTGACTGTTCAGAGGGCATACAAGATGAGGGGGGGGGTGTACTCTTATGTTTTGCATGCTTTAGCAGTTAGACCATTGACCACGCGTCCTCGAGAGGACGGAGCATTGTTCCCACAGGACCGATCACC